GCTTGGGCATGACCTGGGTGGTGGGAATTTTTTAAGCTTCTCTAGTAATTCCTCGAAACAGCCTAGGCTGCTGTTTTCTTGCTGCTAACAAACCAGCCAAACTTAACTGCAAAAATCACGGCTCCCAGCCAGGCAGCCAGGCAGCAGGCAGCAGGCAGCTCTCATTCAGAGGCTCATGCAGCTGAGGTCGTCTTGAAAACTTCTACTTGCACATATCTGGACTTGAGATTAACCGTCACCTGGGATCTCCGTAGGGCAGTCAACCAGATCACCCGAATGTGGCCTTTCCTTATAGTCTGGGCTTCTTTGCAGGATGGCTGTTGAGTTCCAAGGGAGCCAGGCAGAAGTGGCATGACCTTTTTTAATCTAGCCTGGGATGTCGCGCAGTATCCCTTCAGCCACATTCTACTCATCAGAAGCAAGTCACTAAGGCCAGCTCACATTCAAAGGGGATGGAATTAGGCCGGGCACCGTGGCTCATGCCTATAATCCCAGCACTTTGGGAGGCCAAGGTGGGCAGATCACTTGAGGTCAGGAGTTTGAGAGCAGCCTGACCAACATAACAAAACCCTATCTCTACTAAAAATACAAAAATTAGCCAGGCATGATGGCAGGTGTCTGTAATCCCAGCTACTCGGGAGGCTGAGGCATGAGAATTGGTTCAACCCAGGAGGTGGAGGTTGCAGTGAGCTGAGATCATGCCACAGCACTCCAGCACTCCAGCCTGGGCGACAGTGAGACTCTGTCTAAAAAAAAAAAACAACAACAACAAAACAAAACCGGGTGCAGTGGCTTGTGCTTGTAATCCCAGCACTTAGGGAGGCCGAAGCAGGCGGATCACCTGAGGTCAGGAGTTTGAAACCATCCTGGCCAATATGGTGAAACCCCATCTCTACTAAAACACAAAATTAGCCGGGTATGGTGGCATGTGCCTGTAATCCCAGCTACTCAGGAGGCTGAGGCAGAAGAATCGCTTGAACTTGGGAGGCGGAGGCGGAGGTTGCGATGAGCTGAGATTGCACCACTGTACTCCAGCCTGAGCAAGACAGCAAGACTTCATCTCAGAAAAAAAAAATAAAAATAAAAAATAAGGGATGAAATTAGACTTCATCTCTTGACAGGACAAATGCCAAGGAATTTGTGATCCTATGTGAAAACCACCACAGCTACCACTGGAAAAAAAGTCTCCAGAATCGGCCGGGCGCGGTGGCTCAAGCCTGTAATCCCAGCACTTTGGGAGGCCGAGACGGGTGGATCACGAGGTCAGGAGATCGAGACCATCCTGGCTAACACGGTGAAACTCCGTCTCTACTTAAAAATACAAAAAACTAGCCGGGCGAGGTGGCGGGCGCCTGTAGTCCCAGCTACTCGGGAGGCTGAGGCAGGAGAATGGCGTGAACCCGGGAGGCGGAGCTTGCAGTGAGCTGAGATCCAGCCACTGCACCCCAGCCTGGGTGACAGAGCGAGACTCCGCCTAAAAAAAAAAAAAAAAAAAGTCTCCAGAATCCATTCTCCTGTCTACACTCCTCCAGCCCAACGCTGCTTACCTGGAAAGTCCAGCGGCCTCTGCAGGGTCTCCCTGCCTCCCATCTCCCACCCCAGGCTGCCCTCCACACTGCAGCTGGAGTCTCGAGCCCAGAGGGTGGAGTCCAGGGCCCCCACAGGCTGTTCTTTGTGTCTCCAATTCATTCGCATCCTCAAGCTCCCAGGCAGAGCCAGACTCAGTACAAGCAGGTGCTCTCCTGGGCCATGCATGTGCCTAGCTCCTGCCAGACAGGCACATCATCCCTTAGTGGGGAGCCACAAAACTCCCCAACTCCCACCCTCCTCCTTCAGGATCTTACCCAGACCCCTCTCCAGGGAAGCCTTCTCTGAACACCCCCAAGGTGGGTCAAGCTCAGCTCCCTGGCCTTTCCTTTGCAATGTGTACGTCATTTTACACATTTTCTTTTAACCTTGTACTGCAGTTTAACACATATGCAGAAAAGCGCACAAATCCTTAGCGAATTTTAACAAAGTGAGCAAGCTTGTATATCCAGCTCTCAGGTCAAGAAATAGAACATTTCTAAGTCTGGGCGAGGTGGCTCATGCCTGCAATCCCAGCACTTTGGAAGACTGATGTGGAAAGATCACTTGAGGCCAGGAGTTCAAGACCAGTCTGGGCAACATAGTGAGATCCCTTCTCTATAAAAATTTGTTTAAAATTAGCCAGGCATGTGGGCACATTCTTGTAGTCCTAGCTACTCGGGAGGCTGGGGCAGGAAGATCACTTGAGTCCAGGAGGTTGAGGCTGCAGTGAGCTATAATTGCACCACTGCACTCCAGCCTGGGCAACAAAATAAGATTCTGTGGAAGGAAGGAAGGAAGGGAGGGAGGGAGGGAGGAAGGGAGAAAGAAAGAGAGAACATTTTTACTCAAGTGATGGGTGCACCAAAATCTCAGAAATCACTACTAAAGAACTTATTCATGTAACCAAACACCACCTGTTCCCCAAAAGCCTATTGAAATAAAAACAAAGAAAAAGTAAGATGAAGAAAGAAAGAAAAAGAAAGAAAGAAAGAAAGAAAGAAAGAAAGAAAGAAAGAAAGAAAGAAAGAAAGAAAGAAAGAAAGAAAGAGAGAGAAGAAAGGAAGGAAGGAAGAAAGGAAGGAAGGAAGGAAGGAAGAAAGAAGGAAGGCAGGAAGGAAGGAAGGAATTCCTAGAACCCCAGGAGCCCTCCAAGGTCCTTTTGTTCACCATCCACCATCCCTTCCTCCCCCTAGCCCTGCTAACCACTATTCCAACTTCCAATCCTTTAGGTTAGTGCCACTTGTTTTCAAACTTCATACCAATGAACTCATATGGTATGTGCTCTGGGGTCTGGTTTCTGTGTCCAGTCTCATGTTAGTTCTTGCTGCATTTTAATCAGAACTGGCTACATAATTTGTGTGACCCAGTGCAAAACGAAAGTGGGGACTGTCCCCCCGCAATCTCACCCCCAACACCGTTCAAAAGTTATTAAGAATTTCAAGATGGCAGCTGCAGAGCCTAAGTCAGTCATGTGATTCTTCTGAGTGCAGGGCCCTGTGTAAGTCACACATGCCCATGAAGCCATCCTGTTTCCAGTTGCCTATTTGTTCGAGTGTCTCTTCCTTGAGGGTAAGAGCTGTGCTCTGGGCAAGTCACCATCTCTGTGGAGCTTCTTCAACCTTTGTTCATTAAAACCTCACAGAGGCCCGAGGCCTAGAAGGAGGGTGATCATTATAAGCATCACACCCGTTTAATTGATGCAATGTCTAGACTGAAAATGCCGCGGGACTCAGCCAAGGTCCCACAGTGAGTGAGTGCAGGGATGGACCTCAATACAAGCCTTCTGGCTCTAGGCAGCCTCCACCTGCCTCCAGCTCTGCCCTAGAATCTACTGCATGCCAAGTACTGGACCCAGGGTAAAGGAAAAAAAAGAGTTCCTGCCCAGAAGGAACTTTCAATTCAACTGGAAAACAAAAACAGGACTTATACACATGAAAACATCATTAACCGAAACATTTTGTCCTTCATGTGTGGGCCTTGTAGTTGTAAGAACTGGAGGCTGTCTCTGCCTAACCAAGCAAGAAGGATCAACTAGAGAAGGTGCAGCCAGGCATGGTGACTCACGCCTGCAATCCCAGCATTTTGGGAGGCCAAGGCAGGGGGATCACCTAAGGTCAGTAGTTCCAGACCGGCCTGGCCAACATGGTGAAACCCCGTCTCTACTGAAAATACAAAAATTAGCAGGGCGTGGTGGTGCATGCCTGTGATCCCAGCTACTTGGGAGGCTGAGGCAGGAGAACCACCTGAACCCAGGAGGCAGAGGTTGCAGTGAGCTGAGATCACACTATTGTACTCCAACTTGGGCTACAAAGTGAGACTTCATCTAAAAAAATTTTTTTTTAATTTTTTTTTTAAAAAGAGGGGGTGCAGAGAGCCTACACAGGAAGCTGAGGGCAGGCAGAGCTCCTGGGAGCCCTGGCAAGCAGTGGAGTCCCACCCTAGCTCTCACAGGGACACGGTCTGGTTAGCGTGATGCTGTTGCATCTGTGTACCACACATTCCAGCCATCCCATCAGTCCCGGCATCACTTGCTCACAGGACAGCCTCTGATTGGCTGAGCTCTGGCCTGGGGCTCAACCTCTGGCTCTCCTAGAGCTGGGAGACAGACGGAGGGCCTGGCCCCTCTGTTATCACAGTGGGAGGGAGGGCATTCCTCAGAAAGAAATCAAGGGGTCATGAGGACCAGGGATGAAAGTATGGTGGTTAAAAAATGACAGAAATTCCCTTTAATGCGTGTATTTGTTTAGATCACCACTACACCAAGCAACAGTGGGGGACTCCTGTCCTTGAAACTGACTTTGCCTGTGCTTGTGGAGGAGGCAGGCAAAACCATTGGAAAAGGCGAGTCCGCAAGCACCCATGTGTTTGTGAAAGTGTGGTGTGATGGTTACTTTTAGGTGTCAACTTGACTGGGTTAGGGGATACCCAGATAGCAGGTGCAGCATTATTTCTGGGTGCATCTGGTAGGGTGTTTTCAGAGAGATTGGCACTCGAATCAGTAGACCGAGTAAAACACATCTGCCCTCACCAATGTAGGTGGGCGACATTCAATCCACCGAGGGCCCAAATAGAACAAAAAGACAGAGGAAAAGCAAATTCACTCACTTCTGGACCTGGGACATCCACCTTCTCCTGCCCTGGGACATCGAAGCTCCTGGTTCTCAGAACTTCAAGCTCAAACTGAATGACACCATCACTTCCCCGGTTCTTCAACCTGCAGACGACATACTGTGGGACTTCTTAGGCTCCCAATCACTCAGGCCAATCTCCGTCATAAATCCCCTCTTCTACATCTATAGTTATGTCTATAGCGCCATCCTGTCTGTTCTGTTTCTCTGGACGACCCTGACTAATCCATGTGGTTAAAGTAAAAACCTCCAAGCCCCACACTAAGAGCAGAGAAGCTATAACACAGTCAAGCTTCGACTCACCAATGCACATGCCAGAGCCCTCATAGAAATGTGGCTTCCTTGAAGGGAAGACCATGTTATCATCAGGGCAGTGACCTCCAAGGAGCCTGGAAAAGAGCGAGAAGGTCCACTGGCAAGAATGTGGAAAGAATTCCCATCTGTGACACAGAAGAGAGGCCCGGAATTTGGCGGACATGAAGATTCCAATTCTGTCTTGTGGGCAGGGACGCATCCCCAGGCCTTACCCAGCACCCTGGGGCCGGAATACACCTCTAAATTGTATCCTACCTCCAGTCCCAGCTAGGCAGGACTGTCTTCTGGGAAGCAGATTGTGGGAGCCATGTCGTTTGTGGGTGACAGCTGCCTATTGCTCCCTGGACTGGGCAAAAGGGGCTCCATTTGCCCTCTCTACCTCCGCTTCCCAGTGCTAGGCAGAGCAATATCAGCGGCGACGCCATGGGGCATGGTTATGAAAGTGGGAAAATGCTTGATCCCACTTGTGCAAGAATTTTCTGCTCTGTAACAAATACACAGCAACAGCTAACCGACACATGGACACTCCAAAGCTCAATGGCTGAAAAAAACAATGATGTCTTATTTTTCATGAGTTTGTGGGAGGGCTGGAGTGCTGCTGGAAGTTGAAGGCTTGGCTGAGGCAGCTCTGCTCCACATACTTCACCCTTATCCTAGGACCTGCTGATTTTGTCCCCTTAGAGATGGCAGAAATGCACAAGATGGCATGGAGACACTCAGGGCCTCTGGAACTGGTGCACTGTCACTTCAGCCTGGTTCGATTGGTCAACACAGGTCTCATGACCAGCCCAGAGTCACATTGAGAGGGCACTGCAAAATGTAGTGGCAAAGGGTGTAGATACAGAAAGAGGTGACGAAGTGAGGCCAGTGCTCAAGGGTGAATGGAGCTGGGGGACAGAAACTAGGAAGCCAGTTTGATCCATGCCAGGTTTCAAGGGCAAGTTCAGGCCATGCACAGAGGAGTTGAGAGAAGAATCAAGTCTGGGGGAAATCCCAGGGAGAGAACAGAGACTAGGGAGGCACAAGGCCATGGTGCTGGTGGCTGAAAGTGGCCTGGAGCAAGCTGGCAGTAAGCATGAATCTCATCAGCTTCTCCTTGTGCCAGAAAGGGCTTGTGCCAGGGTGCCCAGGCCCATAAAGCACCACATCAGGGCAGACCTGTTCCAAAGATCCAGAGCAATTTTAGATGTATCTGTGTTTATTTTTGTTGTTGTTGATTTTTTTCATTTTTGTTGTTGAGACGAGGTCTCACTATGTTGCCCAGGCTGGGCCTGAACTTCCAGGCTCAAGCACTCCTTTCTCCTGGGTGTCAGCTGGGACTACAAGCATATGCCACAGCTTCTATCTGTTTTTATTAAAGCCATATTTCCTGAATTTTAGCCATTTGCATTCAAATTTTAGTGATTTTTTTTGCCATATCCGCTTGCCGCCTATACTAATATTTACCTGATATTTTTATTTAAATCAACTCATATTTTTTGTTGTCATTATTTAGCTTTTATTTCATAATCATAAACTTGACTCTGCAATCCAGCTAGGCATGGAAGGGAAGAAGGAAATCTTGGAGCTCAAAGGGAACTGCAGTGAGAGCACAAAGATTCTAGGACTCTGTGAGCAAATGGGGTGGTGGAGGAGTGCTCTCCCAAGCTACAGAAGGAATGGTCTCAAGGTTAAGATAAAACATAAGTCGACTGGGCACAGTGGCACAAGCCTGTAATCCCAGCACTTTGGGAAGCCAAGGTGGGAGAATCACCTGAGGTCAGTAGTTCAAGACCAGCCTGTCCAACATGGTGAAACTCTGTCTCTACTAAAAATACAAAAATTAGCCAGGCGTGGTGGTGCTCACCTGTAATCCCAGTTACTCCGGAGGCTGAGGCAGGAGAATCACTTGAACCTGGGAGGCGGAGGTTACAGTGAGCCGAGATTGTGACATTGCACTCCAGCCTGGAAGGCAAGAGTGAAACCTTCTCAAAACCGAAACAACACAAACACAAGTCAAGCTTATTAGAGTCATTCACAGTCAGCAGTGGTGATCTTCTTGCTGGTCTTGCCATTCCTGGATCCCAAACCCTCCACGGTCTCCACAATATTCATGCCTTCTTTCATCTTGCCAAAGACCACATGCTCGCCATCCAACCAGTCACTCTTGGCAGTGCAGATGAAAAACTGAGAACCGTTTGTGTTGGGTCCAGCATTTGCCTTGGACAAGATGCCAGGACCTGTCTGCTTCAGGATGAAGTTCTCATCATCAAATTTCTCCCCATAGATGGACTTGCCACCAGTGCCATTATGGTGTGTGAAGTCACCACCCTGACACATAAACCCTGGAATAATTCTGTGAAAGCAGGAACCCTTATAACCAAATCCTTTCTCTCCAATGCTCAGAGCATGAACACTTTCTGCTGTCTTTGGAAACTTGTCTGCAAACAGCTGGATGGAGATGCGGCCCAAGGGCTCATCGAAGAATTTGGTGGGGTTAACCATGGCTGATAGTATGGGTTCCCTGGAGGCAATGGTGGTGTATGCAAAACTCAACTTATATGTTTAATGTAAAGATTTAACTTAATAATATTCATGAAATCATTGACTTCTGTGCTTGTTTATACACACACACACACACACACACACACACACACACACACACATATATATACATTTTTTGAGTCAGAGTCTCATTCTATCACCCAGCCTGGAGTGCAGTGGCACAATCTTGGCTCACTGCAACCTCCACCTCCCAGGTTCAAGCAATTCTTACACTTCAGCATCCTGAGTAGCTGGGATTACAGGCATGCGCCACCACATCTGGCTAATTTTTGTACCTTTAGTAGAGTCAGGATTTCACCATGTTGACCAGGCTGGTCTCCAACTCCTGACCTCAAGTGACCCACCTTCCTCCGCCTCCCAAAGTGCTGGGATTACAGGTGTGAGCCACCGCACCCAGCCCCAACACATATGTATATATGTAGGCGCAATCTCAGCTCACTGCAACCTCTGCCTCCCAGGTTCAAGCGATTCTCCCGCCTCAGCCTCCCTGAGTAGCTGGGATTACAGCTGAGTAGCTGGGATTAGCCGCCATCATGCCTGGCTAATTTTTGTGTTTTTATAGAGATAGGGTATCACCATGTTGGCCAGGTAGGTCTTGAACTCCTGACCTCAGGTGATCCACCTGCCTCAGCCCCCCAAAGTGATAGGATTACAGGTGTGAGCCACCGCACCTGGCCCCAACTCATATTTTTAATGTAAAGATTTAATAATATTCATGAAATCATTGACCTCTGTGCTAGCTGTATCTTTCCTACTGTCACAGTAAAACAACCTATAACCTCCAGGACAAAATAATTATATATATATTTATTTATTTATTTTAAGATGGAGTCTCACTTTGTCGCCCAGGCTAGAGTGCAATGGTGCATTCTCGGCTCACTGCAACCTCCACCCCCCCAGGTTCCAGTGATTCTCCCACCTCAATCTCCCGAGTAGCTGGGATTACAGGTGCCCACCACCACGCCTGGCTAATTTTTGCATTTTTAGTAGAGACAGGGTTTCACCATGTTGCCCAGGCTGATCTGGAACTCCTGATCTCAGGTGATCTGCCTGCCTCGGCCTCCCAACGTGCTAGGATTACAGGTGTGAGCCATCATGCCTGGCCAATTATTCATATTGTTAAAGAAAGAAAACAAGTCATAGGATATCTAGAGTGTTAATCCATTTACACAGAAATTGAAAACAGCCACCGCTATATATTTGAAGTAAAGTTTAAAAGGGTCAGTCGGGGCTGGGTGCAGGGGCTCACACCTGTAATCCCAGCACTTTGGGAGGCCAAGGCGGGTGGATCATGAGGTCAGCAGATTGAGATCATCCTGGCTAATACGATGAAATACCATCTCTACTAAATATACAAAAAAATTAGCCGGGCGTAGTGGCGGGTGCCTGTAGTCCCAGTTACTCAGGAGGCTGAGGCAGGAGAATGGCGTGAACCCAGGGGGCGGAGCTTGCAGTGAGCAGACATCACACCACTGCCCTCCAGCCTGGGCGACAGAGTGAGACTCCGTCTCAAAAAAAAAAAAAAAAAAAGGGTCAGCCAGGTGAGGTCTGGAGTTCGAGACCAGCCTGGCCAACATGGTGAAACCCTGTCTGCACTAAAAATACAAAAATTAGCTGGGTGTGGTGGCAGATGCCTGCAATTCCAGCTACTCGGGAGGCTGAGGCAGGAGAACTGCCTGAATCCAGGCTGCAGTGAGCGGAGATTGTGCCACTGCACTCCAGCCTGGCAGAGTGAGACTCTGTCTCAACAAAAAGGTAAAAAGAAAAGTTGACTCCCAAGGAAACAGGCATCCAGCTCAAATCTGTCTCCCTGCTGACTTTAAGGCAGTCATTTTGCTAGACAAGGTTTGGGGTTGGATTAGCAGGTGATTAGTGGAAGGAAGGGGGAGATGGGCAGAGTCCTTGAGGATTCACGGTTATCTTCTCATGCTAACTCATGGGTCACATGTGCAAATTCAGAGGGAGCTATCTGAAACATGATGAAAATTCAGGCTGTGACATCAGCAAGCTGGTTCTGCACAGACTCTAGTTGGCCACACTGGTTCCAACTGATTTCAGCCAGTTTTGTTATCTTACAAATGAAAGGATTTTCAGCATTTCAGCAAGTTGTTTCTTTTCTTATCCACTATCCTGCAAACTCAAGAACTTCTGTTACTTACTGTTTTTTGTTGCTGTTGTCGTTGTTTTTGTGAGACAGGGTCTCCCTCCATTGCCCAGGCTGGAGTGCAGTGGTGTACAACCGTGGCTCACTGCAGCCTCGAACTCCTGGACTCAAGCAATCCTTTTGCCCCAACCTCCTGAGTAGCTGGTACGACAGGCACGCACTACCATGCCCAGCTAATTTTTATTTTATGTAGGGACTGGTTCTCACTGTGTTGTCCAGGCTGGTCTTAAACTCCTGGGCTCAAGCAGTCCTCCTGCCTCAGCCTCCCAAAGTGCTGGGATTACAGACATGAGCCACTGTGCCCAGAGTTACTGATTTCTTTAACTCTATGAGGCACAATTTCAGAAAGAAGGAAAGAAAGAAGAAAATATTATGGTTGCAAC